TTGAACGATGGTTTTTAAGGCGCATTTGAGCCCGTTTAATTGAAAAAACTAACTAGGAAAATCAATTAAGCATAATTCAAAATCAGTAAACTCGATGTTTTTAACAATATAAATGTTTTAAAATGTTAAAAACATTATGTTTGGTGATCTTGAATTATGCTTAATTGATTTTCCTAGTTAGTTTTTTCAATTAAAAGGTCTGAAATGCGCCTTAAAAACCATCGTTCAACAGGCTGAACTGTGCCTTTAAGATATCTTTTCCAGGGCCGTCTGACAAAATGTCCGGTGACGTTGAGTTTGGGTCGGACATATGTCCGATGACCTTCAGTTCAGTTTTGACTCGGAAATAAGTCTGAATGACACAAATGAATAAACGGTAAATGTTGTAAAGATATTAAATAGATGGTTTCTTTCATACTTATTTCCAAGCCAAAATTAACTTGCTTGTCAGAACAGCAGTATTAAAAAAGATTTCGACAACTTAAGCCCGTTTTCCACTTCACCATTTCGCTCGCCGCCCCGCGCTCGACTACGTTAAAACATTTCCAGTTTACTTTTTATACAATAGTACTCTGATTAAGTCTGTTTTTTTCAATACAAGCCTCTAGTCCTGGGCTAGGGTACATATTGCATGATTTACGTCAGACAAAGCTACAGTTCGGTCGGACACCAATTCACTCGGGTCGGACAAACAATAAACCTCAGTTTCACTTAGGTCGGACAGAATGTCCGGTGGTTTCCTTTCTACGTCGGACAATTTCACGAATGGGTCGGACAATGTCCGTGACCGACCGATATTTTAAGGCCTGTACTCTGAGTGTGCATCCACATCGGGCAAGCTGAAAAGTTTGCCTGACCACGGTGGGAATCCAACCCACGACCTTTGGGGGATACTAGTCCAATGCCATACCAACTGAGCTACGAGATCAAGTCTGTTCGAGTTGGTGGTATTTCGGAACTGAGTCTAGACTTTTTTTCAAAACACACGCAAAAAATGTCATACCTTAGAATGCATTGATATCGAAGGAACTAGACTCAGTTCCGAAACATCACCAACTCGAATCGACTTGACCTCGTAGCTCAGTTGCATGGCAGAGCATTGGACTATAGCATCCGAAAGGCCGCGGGTTCGATTCCCACGGTGGTCAGGCAAACTTTTCAGCTTGCCCGGTGTGGATGCACACTCAGAGTAACATCACAAACATCATATTCACCTGAGTACACAAACACCAACACACACAAAAAATGTTATAAAGACATGTGAGGCAAAAAAACCCAGTTCCCTATGACATTATATTGTAATCTTTTGCAGAAAATTTTGAGCCCTAAGCCAGGTTCTCAGAAAAAATTCCATCTCTGAATTGTAGCCAAATTAAACAAATACACTCGCACCATTTTCCACAATTATCTATTCAACCAACTTAACTAAATGCCTTGTTACACCAGATAGTTTTTGCTGCAATTTGCAACACAGCTTCTGGCATGTAGAGCCATGTTACTGTTATATCACGACTGTATCGCACTTGTTGGAACAAGTTTGCAACAAGCCTGATAATATCAACAAGGTTGTTACAAATTGTTAACAGCTTGTTCCAAACTTGTTGACAACTTGGGACAAGCAGTGCGAACACAACTTGTTGGCAGACTTGCATGCCACAAGATGCGAGATTTTTACGCCTGTATAAAGTCTACAATGGACTGTAAATGTGTATAGTTTATTAAAACTTAAATTCCAACAATTGGTACAAAACCTAGTAAATAAATTATTCCTACAGTAAAGATTACAAAATGTCACATCCTTTTAAAAGCAATGTTTAACATGCTATCACTGCTGAAAATCAATAGACGACCGGCTAACTTTCTGAAATAGTTACACTCTGATTGATGGTATTTTTTGTTACAAGCTGCATGCCAACTGGCATTTTCTTAGAGTAGTGGAGTATACTCGTTAATAAAGAAGACTTACTACTATGTTGACGAAAATGTAAAATTTCAAGTTTATATTTCACAAAAATAAACTATACCATTAGAGGGATCGCAAAAACGTATATATAAGACATTAAAGCGAGTAGTGCGAATTTTCAATTTTTGAGTTAAAGGAGCTCAAAGTTGGCAAAGTAGTAACTTTTAGCATAAATTAGCTCATTTTTGAACGTTAAAATCATACTACTCGCTACTGTACGTGTCTTATATAAACTTTTTTTGCGAACTTTCTAATTGACGTATAGTTTATTTTTGTTAAAAATGAACTTGAAATTTTTTGTCAATATACTACATTAATACTAATAGGCAATATTTTGAAATTCTCAAATTTTCAGTAAGAAAGCCAGATATGTATATATGGTCTTCTTCATAAATGCATATACTCTAAGAAAATGCCGGTGCCAAGCTTCTAACAGCCATATATACAGCATATACTCAAGTGAAATGCCAGCCTACAAATTTTGGCCAGCCGTCCATAACAGTACAAGGATTTAGGTTTCTTCATTCACAATGACTACAACTATTATGTCTATTATGTGCATTGGGTATATATTTATATTACACAGACTTATAAATAGATAAAACTTAGTCTACTAACTGCCAATACAAAATAGGCAGGTTTCGCCAAGAACGATAGACCATTTGCAGAATTGCTGTTGCATAGCATTATAAATATAATTAGCCTCAACTTCATTCTTTAATGCATCAGTTTGATCATCTGATTATCAATTTCCCGTTTGTAATGCAAAATGACTGAAAAACGGCAAACTTCGCAAGGCTATATCATCCGTATTTTACAACATTTCGCAGCGAAACGTTAGAATATTACTAATTTTGTGATGCTCTTTCAAGCTGTAATGAAATTTTTGTCCGGACTTGTCTAGATCAAAATTTCACTCGAAAGGGGAAAGGTCCATTGATAGGGGATCCGAGGTACCTACGATTTGATGTCCTTATCTGAGAAGATACAAAAGTCTAATCACTTACTGATGTCAATGTAAAGGTAGCTCTTTCTCCTCGGTTATTTTAAGACCTTGAGTAGAGGTCCGACCAAGGATTGAACCCTGGTCCCCGGCCCAGCTTGAAAGGCAAGCATGGACCACGACACCACATGTGCTGGTATCGTACATTAAATCACAAGAGTACTGTACTACTGTACTTACTGTAATATTTGACTTGTCAAAGGGAGAGTGCACCTGCTCAAATGGGTTACTTCCTTTTGAATTTTATTCAGCCTTAGCTAATAGCTTAGTCTTATGTAATTTTTTCAAAAGAATGAATTCAATCAAGGCTGTGCATGGAGCCACTCTGCAAATGGTCTATCGTGCACGTGGTCGACTGGCAACTGGTGTCATTAGAGTCGCAAAGAGTGACAAAATTATGTTATTAATCCTTTTAATTATTGGTAGTGAATTGAGATTTTGTTGTTCCCATTTGAGTGAACGTTTTTCAAGTTAATCACCAGATCTACTGCCCTGCAGTAACACTAAACCATGCAGCATTTACAAAAATCTGCCACACAGTACATGCAGTCAACAAGCATGCAATATCTATTGTCAGTGTCTAATGGTCACTTGTTTGTCTGTGTTAGATTAAACTATCATCAATTTCAGGAGGGTTTTTTCTAGTTGTGCCTTTGGCTCGCAGAAGTGATGCTCCCAATGTTAGCTTTGTTGTTGGTCGTTTCAAACTTGGTGCAACCTGAATGACCTCTTTTGTGGGAGTTTTTGGTGGTGGTGTTGTCTGTGTCTGGCTACTGATCAACTCTTCAACAGGAGTTTTTGGTACCGCTGTCCGGCTAGTCTGATCTTGTGTCGACTGTGCAGGGCGATCTGAATTTTGATTAGACAGTGAATGAACATATTCTGCATATTTTAGCTATGAATGAAAAACAAATATTTTTGTCAGTGTGGAAACAGTTGCTAGATGATTATTTGCACTCATGCCAAACTGAAAAAATTCACTTGGATTTCGACCTCACACATATCCATCTCCAGTCTTGTGTTCTACCTACTGTATAGAGTCAAATATCCATAGTGTTTAACCCTTTAAAGTGGCAATGCACCCTACTTTAGTATTTTACTCTGTCTAACGCCAGACGATTTTACTCGTCAAGTGGAGAGTGCTGCCACTCGATGGGTTATTAAATTAGTCATCACGAAACTTAAGTGCAGTTATATTGGATAAAACTTGCTTTCTTGCAATAACTTAATATTAGGCAGACCCAGAGTTCTAAATGTACTACATGATTATCTTGATGGTATTAATATTTAATATACTGTATCTTAATAAATCCATTCATTATGTTTTAGTAATGTTGTAGACTTGGTACGAGTTACTGTAGCTTGTATAATTTAGCTGTGAGTTTGAGCTCAAATGTGGATTTTAGCGATGGGTCGCCCATTTGTTCTCACTCTTTTACTCCTCACAACGTGAGACAAGTTACAATGCATTATGGTGTGGTGTGAGTCAACTTGTACTGTACCAAGTATAGTATATAATGTTGCTTTTATTAGTGGGCTCATCACATTCAATGTAGGCCTGTTAAGTTGTATGCAGGCATGTAGCACTTGCAATTATAGTAACTCTTGGATTGAAGTTGATAATCTCAAACAAGGAGATTCATTGTTTGTAGTATTCTACAATGAGCTGTTACGTACGGGATCCATGTGCTTGATCCTAATACTGGTATCCGATATCCAGCAAAATATAATATATAATACTGGAACTTTTATTATATATAACCACACAAACAACTAGTAAGTCAACCGGACATGACGTTGCACATTGAAATGAAATTGCAGTTAAGTTTTTTGTAAACTGCTCTCTGCTGTATATTGTCTGATGATCCTGTGCCAGACATACTAAACAGACAATGGACTATTTTATGACAAAAAGTTAGTGATCGATGTATTTTCCAAGTACAGTATCCAGTATCTGAATTTGATGACGTAGAGTACTATCTGGTACCATTCAGTATCTGGCAAAGCAGTGTCCAGCACATCCCTAATAAGCCGGCATGGTTATGTCACTACATCTTAACCATGCAGCTGACTTGCCTTTCCTGCAGTGGGTGATTTCACATTTAATTGTTCTTGTGGTTGTTGAACATGCAATCCTCCTGCATTTTCATCCACACTTCTAACACTCTTTGCCTGTCCCATTTCTGCAATTTTCTTTTGGAGATCTTGTTCACTCGCTACTAGATCTGAAATTCAAAATATTTTGTTTGTAACCATATAAATGGAGATATGGTAATGATCTTGAAGTATTGTTCTAAGAAAGCTTAATGGATTGATAGGGATAACCTCAAATATACAAGAACTTCAACATTTTGAGCAAAGGCCCTTTGTTGGGAAGTTCAAAATATTCCTGACCCCACTACTAAGTTCCCAACAAAGGTAGAGGCGTCGCTAGAGGAGGGTGGTGTTGGAACACGTACCCCCAATCATCAGGTAGATAGATAGATAGAACAGGTTTAATCAAATCGTAAATTACAATTGGTATAACTGAATTGCTTACAAGTATTTACAATTGAATTATTTCATGCAAAGAACTAAGGCTTACTGTATTTTGCGAAACGAAACTTTGCGAAACGAAACTTTGCGAAACTGTATTTTGCGAAACTGTATTTTGCGAAACTGTATTTTGCGAAACTGTATTTTGCGAAACTGCATTTTGCGAAACTGTATTTTGCGAAACTGTATTTTGCGAAACTGTATTTTGTCGTGATTCTGCTAGTAGAGTTGGCAAACATTTGTTTATAAAGACTGAAAATAAATCAAAGACAAAGTGCAGTATGTTACTTTGAATGCTTTCACATGGAACTTTATACATGTACATATAAAATGGTGTGGATTGATTTTGAAAGAAAATATAGCGACATCACCATACAGATTATAAATAACACTAGAGAGTAGAGGGGGCATCGTAATCTTAATTCAGTCAAAGAAAGGGAACGTGTCTATTCAGTATTGGGGGTCAAAAAATTAAAATGCTAAAATATAAGAGAGAGTTTGAGCCAATATGTCTAAATTCTTGTTTATGGTAGTTAACTGAGTTCTGTTTTGTTTTTTTACCAAGCATTTTTACCACAATTTTGTTTATAACACATTTCAAACAGTGTTCCAAATAATGCTGATGTCAGTAATTTTGATATTTTCAAGAGAAATTAATTGTTTGAATTAAAAATTTTGGGGGAATGTTTGTAATGACATTCAAAGCATATAAAACACCCAGTTTTGTGACTCTTGTTTTAAATTTTTCTGGTTTCAAGTGCAACCCAAGACTTGTGTGGTGTTTATTCGTGATTTCAATTTCCCCACTGCCCCCCATTACCGCGCTCCCAAATTTCACCCGATTCCCCCTCTATCGTTATTTATAATCTCTATGGACACCACAGCCATGACGTATAGATCAGTGAACAACAGAAACGTTTGATGTTGTGAAAATGGCGAAATTGCAACTACATCAAATGTTTCTGAATTCTGTTGCTCACTGATTTATACGTCATGACTGTGGTGTCCATAGAGATTATAAATAACGGTAGAGGGAGCATCGAGGGTGAAATTTGAGAGCGCGGTAATGGCGGGGGGGATTGAAATCACGAATAAACACCACACAACTCTTGGGTTGCACTTGAAACCAGAAAAATTTAAAACAAGAGTCACAAAACTGGGTGTTTTATATGCTTTGCATGCCATTATTACAAACATTCCCCCAAAATTTTGAATTCAAACAATTAATTTCTCTTGAAAATATCAAAATTACTGACGCAGCATTATTTTGGAACACTGTTTGAAATGTGTTATAAACAAAATTGTGGTAAAAATGCTTGGTAAAAATGAAAACAGAACTCAGTTAACTACCATAAACAAGAATTTAGATATATTGGCTCAAACTCTCTCTTATTTTAGCATTTTAATTGTTTGCCCCCCAATAGACACGTTCCCTTTCTTTGACTGAATTAAGATTACGATGCCCCTTCTAGTGTTATTTATAATCTCTATGGTGGTGTCGCCATATTTTCTTTCAAAATCAATCCACACCATTTTATATGTACATGTATAAAGTTCCATGTGAAAGCATTCAAAGCAACGTACTGCACTTTGTCTTTGATGATTTAGTCTTTATAAACAAACGTTTGCCAACTCTACTAGCAGAATCATGACAAAATACAGTTTCGCAAAATACAGTTTCGCAAAATACAGTTTCGCAAAATACAGTTTCGCAAAATACAGTTTCGCAAAGTTTCGTTTCGCAAAGTTTCGTTTCGCAAAATACAGTAAGCCAAGAACTAACTATATTTACAATTATTAATAATAAAAACTATAGGCTATAATTGACACGAAATAAAGTTAAGAATTTTTACACTTATACTATTAGATATAATGAAGGAGTTCTTAAAATGCTCTGTTCGAAACTTAGGGACTAGAAATTTATGACATTTCCTTAAGGGATATGTACACCCGTTTTCCTCTGGGATCATCTGATGTAGTTTATGCTTGGTATCCAAGTGTGCTTGAAGGAAAAGTTTTTTACATGCTGCTTCTTTTCTGTTTCGTAAGGTTTCTAGATTGGCTAATTCGAGCGCCTCTAATTCATAAGAGCTTTCAGGAAATATCCTTCTTAAACACCGTCTTTGGATCCTTTCGATATCCGAACTCAGGTATTTGGGAAATTATTGAGTCTCAGTATTTGGCAAATTATCGAGTCTCGATCAGTCAGGAAATAGATTTTGTAGTCGGAAATAGTTTTGTAGTAGTTTTTGTAGGAAGGAATTGACTTTTTGAGGTATGCAAGTTTAATTACAGCAGACATTTTTGAAAATTGACGAAACAATAAAGGAACAATTTATGGAATAATGGTACGTTATCCAGATAGGAAAATAAAATGTAGTGTCTGGAAAATTTTTTCCATCTGGTTGAGATATTCGTTGGTAAAACGCACTTACACCCCCTCATTAAAACAGGCCTAAGCAACGCCCCTGGACAAAGGGCCTTCGATAGTTCGATTGAAATGTCGAAGTTCTTCTGTTTTTCAGGTAGTATCCCTATCCGTCTGCAGCTTTTATGTGGCCACATGCTGAATGGTTTATACATTAATTACCTTCCCTTTCTTGCTCTAAAACTGTCTTTCCTCGCTTGCAAATTTCTCTGCAACAAATATTAACATTTGATTAAATATAACATTGTACATGTGAATGGTTTTGGAAAGATGAAATCATTAATGAGTGCAACAACAGCTGTAACTTACAGCTCTCTTGTTCTTTGTGCAGTAGTTATGTTTGCTGATCGACTGTTCTCTTTATGCTGCTCACATACTTTTATTGTGTCATCAAGTTTACCTGAATAAAAAAATGTTAAAAATAAAAGACATTCTTTTTTATAGCTGTTAAAAGACAATCTTTGCATGGTTACATTCTCTGTTCACAAGGGAATAGAAAACAATGGTCTATCGACCTGCAACAATTACGAAAATGCTACAAAAATGGATTAGTGTGGACATTAAGCCTTAATTGCAGGCCTTATTAAAAATATCTTGTACAAGACTGTCTGACAAAATGTCCGATGATTTTTGAGTTTGACATATGTATCAGATGATGTCCAATGACCTTCAATTCAGTTTGGCTCGGAAATAAGTCTGAATGACACTGTAAATTTATTTTTAATATTCATGAGCACATTGCACAATGTATTAATTCTGATCTAAATGTTGTGAAGATATAATAATTTGTGTCATTCATACTTATTTCCAAGCCAAAATTAACTAGCTTGCCAATAATGGCAGCTGTAACTAAGACTTCAACAAGTTAGGGCAGTTTTCCACTTCGCCATTTCGCTTGCCACTCCGCACTCAATTACATTAAAACATCATTTCCGGTTCACTTTTTATGCATTAATTACTCTGATTCTCCATTTCGCATATGAGCCTCTCAAGTCCTGGACTAGGGTACATTTTGCTTTACATTGGACAAAGCTACAGTTGGGTCACACATCAATATATGATTGTGTCAGACATTAACAACAAACCTCAGTTTCACTTTGGTTGGACAGAATGACTGGTGGTTTCCTCTCTACGTCGGACAATTTCACATATCCAGGGCTAGCCGCTAGACTGCGCGAGTTGAAGGCAGCAACTCGTGGCTAGCCCTGGGTAAGAGGTTGGGGTCAGACAATGACTGTGACTGACTGATATTTTAACTTTAAGGCCTGGCTAAGGCTGCCTTTGTGTATTTCGAAAGTCACCAAAATTCTACTTGCCTTGCATGGTTGTGACTGATGACATTGCATTCTCGTAATTCTCTTTTAATGCGGACAGTTCATTCTTACGTTCATCCTGGAGGTAAATACATGAATTTTACAAAATAGTAATTTGCATGGCCACAGTTGACAGGAAAAATAATCTCGTGTCTGACAAACGGCAGGGAAGCATTGCCATCACATGGCACATTGCTGCTCAATGGATCAAATCTGTCAATTGTTGAATATGTTTATTATTCGAAATGTAATGTACATTCTGGAGCAACTTGGGCAAAGAACAGTTATGTACCAGTCAATTCCAACTGCGATCATCCCCCCGGGATTTGACCAAAGTTTAATCACGCACAGGTGGGAATTTGACGCGAATCTGAGCCCGCCCTGTCAGGCATTTGACTAGGTTTGTGGCTGCACAAAATTGGTCAGAATCATAATCTTTACAGCATCTTTACATATCTTTTAAAAACTTTCACCTTTGTTCATGTTAGAATTCATTTGTGATGATTAAAAATGCGGTACAGTCCGATCTGCGCATGCACACAAAGGAGCCCTCTTTTTATTTACAAACAGTTTATTTAGGTTTTTATTTCATTTTATGTTCATGCAAAGCTTGATTGTTGTGTCTTGATAATTTACTATACTCTAGGATCATGAAAATATAAATAGTTGTCGAATAGAATTCAATATTTTGGATACCAAAATGTAAACAAAGCCTTTGTTTATATATGGACTGTACCGCATCTTTATATAATGATATGTTCTTTCAGTACAAATACACATATATACACATTAAATTTTTGCCTGCACCCTGGGGAATTTGACGATGGTTTTTGCCTGCACAGTGGGGAATTTGACCAAATTGTTTTTGAAAACTCAAATTCCCAGGGGTTCGCCAGGGGGGGGGGGGATGATCGCAGTTGGAATTGACTGGTACAATTAGTTTGTCTGATAATACATAAACGTACACAAATGCAGGAAACAGACACATAATGGCCCATTCCAGAAAATATCCACATACCTCTCGCACAGAGGAAATTGGATGTTTAAACACCCCTACCCCCTTCAGATGTCCTAATGTTGTTACTATCATCAGAAACAAATTTTTCTCTCCCTCCCCCTTGAATGATCCAATATGTCAAGACTCAGATGTCATAATCTGTTTCCTCAGTGGCACATAGTACATTAATTAATGTAATTGCAATGTTGCATATATTGACCGATGATCAATTTGTTTGCGGTGTTTATCACAGCACACAGATCAAGACAACTATCTTTTATTTGCACAAGTTTGTCTAGATGGCCCATAAAACGTGCCAACATCACCTGTTCCCTAGCCTACTTGCCGTTGTTAAATAATACATACGCTGTCACTATTTTTAGAACTCATTTGAATGTGCAACATATCACATTCGTATTAAATTGCAACAATTTATAACAACAAATTATTAAGTGATATCAAAATTTATCACCCACCGCCGATTGTTGCAACTGTTGCAACTCGTCTGTCTTCGTATGGTATGACGTTTGCAACTCATCATATTTCTTTAACATGTCTTCATTGCTTGCTGTTATAGCTGCCAAATCCTTCGTCAATTTCTCGTTTTGTGTCCGTTTGTCTTTGTATTTTGTGTTGATTTTTTCCGAAGCGACTCGACATTCGTAAAGCTTTCCAATAAGAAACGACTTTCGGGCGATAAGCTCCTTTTTAGCCCTGTTTTCTCTATGAAGTTGGAAGCACAACACGCATATTACAGCTATAAGTCCGACGATTATATACTTGCTTCGACGTTTATTCGGTAATTTAGTTTGCACGTTGGAGTCCATTTTGGTAGCTTGTGAAACAAGAAATGTGCAAGAGCATAAAACGTCTTTCACAAAAATATGTTTGGTTTTTTGAGAGCTACTCTGACACTTTTAATATCAGACAAGCTTTTCAGACTTCGCCTGTCGACGTGGAGGGTAGTGATGTGTGACGCGTTGAAAGCAACCTTTTTTTAAATAATGAATAATTTATATTATTAAATTTAATACAACAGCGTCGGAAGCTAATTGTCAAGTTGTGCCTCCAGGCTCTGTAGTTTTTCGTCAAAAGAGCATTAATTTTGTGTAAGTACAAAAAGTCTTGCACATCTCAGAGTGCACATCTTGAATTTAACTTTTTTTAACTTAATGTGGTTACAAATATTAATATCAATAAATTTACTTGTTCTATTAATATTAACAGGCAAAAGGTCAAGTCATAGACATAGCCAAGGCCGGAAAGCCCAATTAGTGAAAGCCGCCACTTCGCACGCTCTGCTTCGCACGTGGGATATAAAACATAAAATGGCTGTCTGTCATGTTTGGAATTGGATGGTTCGAAGCTTTTTGTAAGTATATAATATACTAGAAGTTACTTTTTTAACGTAATGTGGTTAATAATATCAATAAATTTACTTGTTCTATTAATATTGTTAGGGCAAAAGGTCAAGTGAAAGCCGTCACTTCGCACGTGGGCTAAAATGGCTGATCAATGTTTGGAATTGGATGGTTGACATGGTTCGAAGCTTTTTGTAAGTTTATAATATAAAAGATCTCTTTTATATTCGTAATCTAATTGTAGTTGTACTTGTTCAAATAGTGTTTCGTAAAGTGTTTATATAAAAATAATGCTAAGATACCGATGCAATATGGAAAAACATGGCGGATATTTGCGGTACAAAAAGTGGTATAGTGTTTCGAATCTGTTCGTTCGGTTGTAGTTGCTTAATTAAAGAATAAAGGCTGGTTTTTAATACACTATCAAAGTTTCTGTGACCACAGTAGGAATTTTGCATAGGTAAATTCTAAGTTTTGAAGGGTTTGTAAGATATGTTTGAGGAAACTCAGTGTTCAAGACATGAAATTCAAACGTTTCTAGTCTTTCTAGTTCGGCCATTTATTTTGCGAAATATAAAATGCGCTGAAATGTCTGATATTTTCACAGAAAATAGTTTTGGCAGACCAAGGGATCCTGTAGTCAAAAACTGTTTGGTCAAATAGGAAAATCTGCTTGGTTCTTGGTTCACAAAACCAAAGGCATTTTGTGCAGATTCTTCAGAGATGATTTGCAGTGTTTTACAATTTGCAAACTTTTGCACAGATTCCATAATTGCAAGAATTTTTGCACAGGAAAGTAATTTACTCCAAAGCCGAGCTGAGGACACAAGACACGCCCTTTCCACACTTTTTTATCTATAGCTGTCATGCATAGCTTATTTGATTAATTCTCTCCGAGGCATTCGGCATGTTTTTGGCAAGACCACTGATCCTAATGAACACAGTCTCGGGTTTGCATTCGATACGAACATCATAAAGGTCTTCTGCTGCAAGTAATTCAGCAAGTTGTCTGTCGTCAAGCTTTCGCCCAACTTCAATTTGAATTGTCTTTAATTGAATGGTCTTAAAAGTTTGGCTTCCACCTGCCTGAGTTCTTCCTTAACCTTTGTGATGTCACTCAAAGTCTTTGCTGCAATTTCCAGAGTAATTTGTTGCCTTGTTTGTAGTGTACCTGTAACAATGTTAATGGCAAATGGTTTGTGATTATGTCTAATTCCGTCATTGTGCGGCAGTCTGGTTACAATTTCTCCTTCGTCACTGTGAGAAGACCAAACAGCCGCATGTTTTCTCTGGTATATGGTCCTAATAGGCCCAGGTCAAACGTCGCTCTTTTCATTGTGCCAAACCATAGTCAATAGAATAAGAAGGTTAGGGAACTCAATAATAGTTCTCGTTATCTTAGGTTCAGCAAATTAAAAGAGAGCCGTTTGTCCCGGGCCTTACTGCACCTTGTGGAGAACTGTTTAGTACTGAGAGCTATAGACCCTTTTCATAAATGGCTACCCGTGCGCGATTAAAAATTCTTTTATGTGCATATAAATTGGCCCAACTAGCCTCATACTCATGTTAAGATTTCAAAGGAATTTCTACCCAGAAACAAGGCTAGTTGGGGCAATTTATATGCACATAAAAGAATTTTTAATTGCCAGCCATTTATGAAATTAGGGTCTATTCATGAAGATAATTTAGTTTAGACATTTTCTTTGCTAAATATTAAGGTGAACAGTTAGGAACAGATACAGCTAGTGTATTATTAAACAGTTTAGTTTGGGTTTCCTCCTGTAGTAATATTTGACCAATAATGGATCATCCTTTACTGGTAACTCTGGAGGCAACTTGGATCGAGCAACAGAGTTATTCAGCTATGCTTAAGTTATTTAAGATTATCTCCTGTAGTAACACGTACTGGACAAGTACATGGTGTCCATTACCGAACCCGGATCATTCATGGATACCCTTACTGGATCTCCAAGGAGATTAGTTTAGAACTGGTAGACCTATACAGGTATCTGTGCAATGTAAATAAAGTTTAGTATTGTTTTGTCTACCTTTCCTAGAATCTGCAGACGTAGTAGATGGATCTTTGCATGCAAAAGCCTTGTTGAAATCCATGAAGACGTTCTCTTGAAAGAGCACAATACGAATAAGTTTCAACGACTTTTCATTTCGCTTACGATACTCCTTGATACAGCTATGCAAAATCTCTGCAGATTGTTTGGCATCTTTCTTTAGATGTCCTGTGCCTACTGCAGGCAGGGACAGTGAGGTACACCCATACAAATCAGCATGGTTCAGGCAATTTGTAACTGCATCTTGAATCGACTTTCCTGTTTTCAGAGCGGTGTTTTTTATAACCATGTGCAACAAACAATGTGCCTTTAGGTTTCCAGCACCAGTCATAACAACAGTTCCTGCCTCGATCTTGCTTAACTTGCTGTACTCTTGTACTAAATCTCCACCCGCCGCCTTAAGAAGCGCTGCTCCGATTTGGCCACCTTAATAATATTGAAAAGTTGATAATAAGTAAGAGCTAGAGTGTTTTTTAAGTAATACGAAGCTTTCACAGCTGATCTGCATCTGATTTACATCCTACTTACTGTATGTGGTGATAATAAATAGCAGATGTATGAGATGGATTGGGCTGGTAAAACAACTAAGGGGAGAAGGAGAGGGAAGAGCATTAAGTTTGTATTAGAGAGGTGTTCATATATTAGAGAGGAGTTCATATTAGAGAGGTGCCCAAAATTAGAGAGCTGCCCATACTAGAGACGTGTCCACTAGGCGTTCATATTAGAGAGGTGTTCATATTAGAGAAGTGTTAATATTAGAGAGGTGTTCATATTAGAGAAGTGTCCATATTAGAGAGGTGTCCATATTAGAGAGGTGCCCATATTAGAGAGACGTCCGTATTAGAGAGGTGTTCATATTAGAGAAGTGTCCATATTAAAGAGGTGTCCATATATTAGAGAGGTGCCCATATTAGAGAGGTGTTCATATTAGAGAAACGTCCATATTAGAGAGGTGTGTGTATTAGAGAGGTGTCTGTATTAGAGAGACATCTATATTAGAGAGGTGTTCATATTAGAGAGGTGTTCATATTAGGTGTTCATATTAAAGAGGTGTTCATATTAGAGAGACGTCGGTATTAGAGAGGTGTCTGTATTAGAGAGGTATTCATATTAGAGGAGTGTCCATATTAAAGAGGTGTTCATATTAGGGAAGTGTTCATATTAGAGAGGTGTCCATATTAGAGAGGTGTCCATATTAGAGAGGTGTTCATATTAGAGAGGTGTTCATATTAGAGAGATGTCCATATTAGAGAGATGTCCATATTAGAGAGGTGTTCATATTAGAGAGGTGTTCATATTAGAGGTGTCCATATTAGAGAGGTGCCCATATTAGAGAGGTGTTCACATTAGAGAGACATCCATGTTAGAGAGTTGTCTGTATTAAAGAGGTGTTCATGTTAGAGAGGTGTTCATATTAGAGGGGAGTTCATATTAAAGAGATGTTCATATTAGAGAGGTGTTCATGTTAGAGAGATGTCCGTATTAGAGAGGTGTCTGTATTAGAGAGACATCCACATTAGAGAGGTGTTTGTATTAGAGAGTTGTCTGTATTCAAGAGGTGTTCATATTAGAGAGGTGTTCATATTAGAGAGGTGTTCATATTAGAGAGGTGTTCATATTAGAGAGGTGTTCATATTAGAGAGGTGTTCATATTAGAGAGGTGTTCATATTAGAGAGATGTTCATATTAGAGAGGTGTTTATATTAGAGAGTTGTCTGTATTAAAGAGGTGTTCATATTAGAGAGGTGTTCATATTAGAGAGGTGTTTATATTAGAGAGGTGTTCATATTAGAGAGGTGTTCATATTAGAGAGGTGTTTATATTAGAGAGTTGTCTGTATTAAAGAGGTGTTCATATTAGAGAGGTGTTCATATTAGAGAGGTGTTCATATTAGAGAGGTGTTTATATTAGAGAGGTGTTCATATTAGAGAGGTGTTTATATTAGAGAGTTGTCTGTATTAAAGAGGTGTTCATATTAGAGAGGTGTTCAAATTAGAGAGACGTCCGTATTAGAGAGTTGTCTGTATTCAAGAGGTGTTCATATTAGAGAGATGTTCATATCAGAGAGATGCTCATATTAGAGAGGTATTCATATTAGCGAGTTGTCTCTATTCAAGAGGTGTTCATATTAGAGAGGTGTTCATATTAGAGAGGTGTTTATATTAGAGAGGTGTTCATATTAGAGAGGTGTTTATATTAGAGAGGTGTTCATATTAGAGATATGTCCGTATTAGAGAAGTGCTCATGTTAGAGAGTTGTCTATATTAAAGTGGTATCCACATTAAAGTGTTCTCCATATTAGAGATGTGCCCGTAAGGAGAAGCTTTCTGTATTATACATGACATTATACCTTGTGTAATATCCTCTTCAACAAGAAACCCAATAGCATCTGTCGATTGTTCGACAATATCTCCATGAACGATTTCAACATTTACACCGCGTGTCTCATCCTCAGAACTCTCCGCTTCTTCATTGACAGCTGGTTTTAGGAAATCAACTGTCTTGTGTTCTATTTTTGCGGCATTGAGTCTGTTTTCGTTTTTTGTCTGTGAATAGATTTGGAATTTCTCTTGAAAGGTATACACCGCCTTCGTGTTTTCGTCGTAGACAACTATATTGCACTGCCTGATTTTCAAAGAAGAGCTGTGTTTTGAACTGAATTTCATGGCTTCTTCGATCAAGACTTTGGCAACCAAACTGTCAGGGAATTTTAGTCTTCCTGTGCCGAGTGCAGGAATTGAAATTGAGGTTAGGTTTAGGCTTTGGACTTGGGCTAGTAGTTTTTGCACCAACTCACGGAGATTCTGTAAAAAAGGATTATCTTGGTTAGTTATAGGGTTTTTAATAACTTTGGTATTGCTGTCAACATAACAAACACTACTGCTCCTGTCACCATTTAAGGCTGGTTTACACGTCAAAGCCTAGAATTTACCCTATGCTAAATTCCTACAGTCAGAAACTTTGATAGTGTAAACCAGACTTTCAAAAATAACATCCTTTTCTATCATTTTCTTAATCAGTCTAACCATTTTTCTCGCTACAACAACATAACCACCATTAATTACCATCGATCATCAGCAGCATCGTCAACTTCATTAAAAAAACTGCTAATGTACATTAAATAAACTACATTAACAGACAACGATCATCGTCATCATCACCACTGACACACTACCATGCGTCACTACCACCACAAGTAAAATAGGCAGCATGAGTGGCCGTGTTGTATCAGATATACAAACTCAGGTGAACGCGGGAGGTTGCAGGTCTGATACAATACCGACGCTTATGCCGTATAATATTTAAATTTTATTAGCTTGTGAAACGTACTAGGATTTCAACAGTTGTGTTTTAAGAAATTATTCAAAAAGAAGTGATTTTAACTGAGAAAATGGAGGGGGAAATGCAGAATTCGGCATGTAGTAAAACACTGACTACCGGAACACCACCGGAACACCACCATTTTGTTTGGGGTTAGGATTAGGGTTTGGGGTTAGGGTTAGGGTTGGGGGTTGGGGTTAGGGTTAGGTGGTGTTCCGGTGGTGTTCCGGTGTTCCGGTAGTCAGTGTTTTACTACATGCCGCAGAATTCAGGAGAATTATGCAGAATTCAGGAGAATTATGCAGAATTCAGGAGAATTTTGTATACAACACCATTTGCAAGCGTGTAAAATGTAAAGGCTTTGTGTGTAGATCACCTTTAAGAAACTCTCATCACAATAGTGTTAACAAACATGACTCCAGCAAATTATTAACATCTCTACACCACCAGCATTACTTTGGAAGACAACACCTTATATTTCTAATTACCTGCTCTCCATGATCAGCTGTCCAACTCGGGCAGGAAACATGAATCACTTTCTTACATTTTAACATGCCTCCATCCGTGATTGCAAATTTTCCTTCTTGGACCTGACCGTGGTCTCTAATCCATTTCTCACAATAGCTTGTCAAAACACTTCCAGCTTCGTCCGAAATTGCTTTTGAACAAGGATTTTTAGTGAGATTTAAATCACTTCCAACTGTGTTGACGATGACGTCGGTCTGCAACGTTTATACAGAATGCGAAGGACAAAATTATGCATTTAACCTATTTCAGATATTTCTGCAACCATGGCTGTGAGTTGGGTTTAAATATTAGGGTGTGTGGAGTCGCTTTGCCCGATAAAAAGGGTGTGGTCAGAATAGAAGCTGAAGATGCCTGGTTTACCCATTATTGGAAAACTTATCAAGGAAATAGTGTGTCCTAGTTTGGTTGTCCACTATTGGGAACTATGGCTAGGAAACAATATTTCCTGGTTTGCCCACCTTCAGGGAACATGGCTAAGAAACAATGTTTTCCATTTTGTCCACCTTTGGGGGAAACATGGCAAGAAAACAAAGTTTCCTGGTTTGTCCACCCTTTGAGAAACATGGCTTGGAATCTCTTACCGTGGACTTTGCGATACTTCCAACCGTCAGTCGTATTTCCATTCCTTCAGGGGTTTTAAATGCCATATCTCCACTAGACACCACAGGAGTCGAAGGTCGAGTTACACTTGCTGCACCTAGGTACGATTTCCACCTATCGCCAACCAACTCATTGATTTGGAAGTTGGGATCATGTCCAAATCTTGTCGTCATTTCTTTCATCAAGGCTTTAATAGCTGCGGGATTGTTGTCGACAAAATGAACTTCTCTCAAAGCATGTGATGGGTTTTCTTGTAGGAATTCATATGCAGCTGTTACTAAACTTTTTGCACTGACATCGTGTGGGACTGAATAGATTCCCGTGCCTAAAGCTGGAATGGCTATCGTTTGTCCGTCTCTTGCATTCATTAACACATCAGTACAACAGCGTCTGTAAAGAAAGCCGTTATTCCGTTTTATTCATTTATCAGCATCGTCAGCATCACCACCCCGTTAAAACACCATCATCGTTGTCATCATCACTGCCAACATTACCATCATCGCCACCACCGGTACCACCATCACTACAACGAACATAATTGCCACCATCATCACCACACCCGTTACAACACTACCATTATTACCACCAACATCATTACCATCATCACCACCATCATCATTTCCACCATCACCACCATCACCAAAACCATCACCGTAACACAATCACCTTCTTTACCACCATCATGATCACCATCGTCACCACCGCTACTATAACCATGCCAGATGGTTTTTGCTTACCTTAAATGCGTCCCTTCTTTTGTTTCCCCTTCATGACTACCCAAAAGCGTCGAACTACATTTCGATGTCACTACATGAATTATTTCCTTACACGTCAAGCTTCCTCCATCCGTGATAACCACTTCTCCAGGCAGGAGTTTATCCCGCCCTCGATCCTGCAGAGCACGAAAACTGTCCGTTTGAATTTTTTGCCCTCCTTTGTCTACAATAGCTTTAGCAAGTCCGCCAGAATGCTTCATTTCTTCATTCGCTGAATTAACCAGATAGTCTACAGGATGGTTCAGAATATCACCTTGGTGTATTTCTATAATCTTACGACTGGGATAAGTAGTATATCGACATTGCAATGTACGCTTTCGGTTTTCATTCAAATTGTCCACAGGACTTGTAGGTGGCGCATTGAATGAGCTACGTCTATCAGTTTCCTCTCTGGTTGTAGCCAAAATAGCACATTGGTGTTTTCTTTCGATACTTTCTATAATTGGCATGGACGTAACTTCACTTATACTACCTGAAGTCTGGTGTGTACCACAATTCACGCTCTCCAACATCAGACCTGTATGTGAGCAAACACTAGGTTGTTAAATAAAATCTTAAGAACTAAAATTGAACTCACTTTATACTGGATAGTTCTATCAGCCTAAAGCTGTCCTTCCTAGAGGTCCAATGTCAGTAATAGGGATCCTAAAGTCTCAGGAGTGGCAGATTGTTGTATTCAAGAAGACTCTTTGACAGTAATATCCATGCATATTTCACTTTATTTTTGTTTTGGTGCCCCTTTTGCTGGGGCCTGGGGCAAACTACTACCTTTGCTGCCCTCCTTGGCGACCCTGCATAGTGATTATGGCATATGCCTTGATTATTATTTATGTTTTGATTATAATTTGATTATAATTATGATTATAGTCCCTAGCTGTAACAGTCTTTAACACTATAGTTATAAACCTATGTTTATAGTAGCACTTCGATTTCTATACGGAGAACTGTTTAAAACTGATAGAGTTAAATTTATTTTCAGTAAACTCTGCATCAATAGAGGACGACCCTTAGTGGACATGTAGGGTCCGGTTAGGGAGAAGTTTATAACTAATATAGCTATCCAGTGTAACTAAAGTTAAGTTCAGTTTATTAGGCTTTTAAGTTTTTAAGTCTGGGAAGTGGGCACAGTCTAGGAATGACATATAATTACTAGACTTTGGAATAAAAAACGAATGAAAAATTACAAACCTCTAGTAAAGTTGTATATGCTAGTACAACAATTATCAACCAATGTCGTTTCACCCGACACGACCAAAGCATCACTATCATACTTTATGCTCAACCCAAGTAATGACTGATGCAAACCTTCGAAAAGATTTCCACCGTGTAGTCTAAGGTAGCGTAATACGACCTTGTCAAGGGGTACACGCTTTTCAACTGTCTTCTTTCGCTCCAGAAAATCGTCTACTTTGCCACTCAGGCTTTGCAAATGCTTCTTGAAACATACAATACGAGGTTGTCCTTCTTCTGTTTGCAATATAAGGGGAATGGTTGCTCCTAACTCGTTCAGCAAAGCATCCTGAGATGATTTTGTTTTTAAACCTATATCAAACAAGCGAATTTATATCTAAGCTGCCATGGTTTGTGTCTGAACTAGTTTCCAAGCCATGATTCCCAAAGGTGGGAAAACTACAAAACATTCAGCTGTCTAATCGCACAGATGGGTAAATGGAATGTGCCGAAATTTCGTATTTTGACACTCTGGTTTTATGAACTCATAACTTATAATACTTTTTGTTTGTGGAAACACCACGTAAATTTATTGCTGCAGTAATAAATTAACATATATATATATATATATATATATATATATATATATATATATATATATATATACATAGAGCTCACTGACTCGGACCAGAGGCTTATGACGCACGTGCTCGAAAAATATATGGGCCTTAGGGTAGTTTCGGTGAGGGAGTAAATCCAACCAAATTGTTCTTAAAAGTGTTTTTAAGGGCAGAGAAGTTTATAGTACCAACCTACGTAAATATCCAACTCTCGACCTAGAGTGGAAGGCTTACTGTAACTCAGCGGGAAGGAACCAGCGTGCTAACTACATCTCCCAAACAAAGAAGCTGTGACAAAAAATGCTTACTTACTCGGAGGAAGCTTCAATTCACCGATAGCGTTCTCTATCGTATTATACGCTTGTGGAACTTGTGTTTGATCCATTCCATACAACATTACATTCCCTTGATCATCCACTTCGACCATCAAATTTTCCATAGGAAACAATGTCTTCACATGAGAAAGGCCTTTGGATGTTTTCAACAAGGAAAATTTGCTTTGCTTCAATGAGCGTTCGCCAAAGCGGCCAACAATATCTTGTGTTTCATTTTTAAGCTTTTGTATTTGCGCTTGTGAGCCTTTCACGGTTATTCTTCCTTTTGTGTCTTCTATTTGAATTTCACAACCATCTTGCTTTAAGGAATTTTCCAGCCTGAAAATAATAGTTTCAACTGATTTATTCTTAAAAAAGAAATAGAATGCTGTTTTGGTCGTAGTTGGTACTTTACGTCATTTAAGATTGGTCGGTTCAGTCTGCCTATCGAATAATTTAAACACTTTGGCGCCTTTGATGTTAGCATAATTACCGCCACGCCATGATTCCCAATCGCAATGCTGTCGGCATGTTCCTATAACCAGCGCGCGAAGGAGAGGCCGTCGCCCCCCTAGAATGCCTCTTGTAAGTGCACTGGCTAAGAACATGGCGACAGCATTGCGATTGCGAATCATATTGGGGCGCTGGTTACGCCAGTGAACTGCACAAAAACTGGAACGACAACTCCGGCTGTGCACGCTAGGTACGCCCTAGGCCCCTGCGCGGAAATTTACTGAATTTAGCATGAAAAATCGGCATCATTTCATGTAGAAATAGAGCTTGTGCATAATGACTTCCCGCGAGGAATGCTGGTCATAGTAGTCATCGCCCGGGAAAATTTCGATACTGGCCATTTTGAATTGTTTAAATTTCCCCGGCGATGGCGGCTACTAAGACCAGCATACTCGCTGCCATCAAGCCTTTGACGTCATTATGCATAAGGTCTATTGGCTTCACGCAATCATAGGGCCGTTTACCTGCAGTTGTCGTTCCAGTATATATAGAGTTCACTGGGTTACGCCAACATCGACCTCTGTATCTAATCTAGTCTATGATCTGTCGGTCAGTGATTCGGTTGGTGAGTTAGTGTATTGCTTGCCTTTGAAATCTTGTTGACTTTCGAAGTAATTTAAGGTGTACAGGTAATATCTCTATTACATCTTCGCGTCGATTGGTTCTCTCTTCGACTTTATCAACACATTTTTTCACCTCGATGACGGCAAGATCAAATGTTGGCACAGCTCTTCCAACAAGCTTGATGAAACCCTCGTTATACTTCTCTATAAACGAGACTGATTTGCCTGAACTAAACACAGAGATAATCTCCTTAATCTCTTCACTTAATCCTTGCTTTGCTAAAACCGGGTTAACAGGGACTATTTCATATTTGAAACCTTTTAGATAGTCAAGGAACTGCTCTCTTGCATCTTGATTGGAAAATGTGAAATGCATCGTTTCCTCTTTCCATTCAACATTCGGTTGTGAATCTTTTAAAGCGAAGCTCAACTGGGCAGGGTGTTTGTCCTTTAGATAGAGATAAAGGTCAAGGTCGATATCTGCTGGGAAACCCGTCGGTTTTCGGTGTCTTGGCTTTGGTATAGGTGTTTCACGGCGGGTTGGATCTGACATTACTCGTTCTGTTAAGTGTGATTCAGATAAGCTATGTCTTGGCTTTCGTATCGGTAGTTCACGGCGGGTTGGGTCTGATGTTACTCGTTCTGTTACGTGTGAGTCAGATAAGCTATTTCTTGGCTTTCGTATAGGTAGTTCACGACGAGTTGGGTCTGACGTTACTCGTTCTCTTAAGTGTGAGTCAGATAAACTGTTTCTCGGCTTTGGTATAGGTCGTTCACGCCGGGTTGTGTCTGATGTTATTCGTTCTGTTACGTGTAAGTCAGGTAAACTGTATGTTGATTTTACTGTAGCTACTTCACGACGGGCTGGATTTGATGTTATTCGTTCTGTTAACTGTAAGTCTAAGCTGCCAAGGATTGGGTAATAGCGTTCCACGGATAGGGTGGTACTCTCCAAAGTTTGTTTCACTGAAAGAACTTTGTCTATCACTAAAAATATACGAAATGCATACATTAGTACCGATTGAGAGAGATATATTACACCATTATTATCATTAATAATTCATGAAGAAAATACAGACGAAATCATGACCGTGAAGTAGATTGTATACTGATCTCGGATACGAAATCATGCTGATTTGCAAACTTTAAAGTGCCTATGACACGAAATTTCCCCCCAAATGTTTATGATTGCATTGTAAAGATCACTTAAAATGACTTAATAATTTCTTTTATAGAATTTTGGTAACTTGCTTCCTTTGCAAGATATTCAACTTTGTTTCATATGCAAATATCACCGGTGTGACATCACATCGCATAATGACATTTTGAAAACGCAATATTTACCTTGATAAAATTTTTTTACAAACAAATACAGAGGGTTAATTACCAGTTATGAAATTAATACATAAACAAGGGCAATTTTTAAGTTTTTTAGATACGTATTCGTCAAGAAAACTATACTTTTCTGAAAACTCATTATGTGATGTGATGTCACACCGGTGATATTTGCATATGAAACAAAGTTGAATATCTTGAAAAGGGAGCAAGTTACCAAAATTCTATAAAAGAAATTATTAATTCATTTTAAGTGATCTTTACAATGCAACCATAAACCTTTGGGGTGAAATTTCGTGTCATAGGCACTTTAAGGTATAATGTTTTCTGCTCGCAAAGAATCATAGTAAAATCGACATCCGCCATCTTTTTTATTACGGTGAATTCATGGATACACCATATTCATCATCTTTTTACGCCATCATGTACTGACGCCCAGTGAGCTCCATACATATATGTATATATATATACATATATATATACATATATATATACATATATATATACATATATATATACATATATATATACATATATATATACATATATATATACATATATATATATATATATATATATATATATATATATATATATATATATATATATATGAACTTCAAAATTTCCAACGTTTCTCAAAACAACTTTTTTTTGCATGAAATATTGATAATTTTAGCGCGTTTTGCTTGAAATTTGAGTGTTTTCAATACAAGGAAGGCGTAATAATATCAATGTATAAGTATAGAACAGGTATGGTATTACGAATATATAGACTGCTGTTTGTATCAAATTGTTTTCTTTTTTATATTCTGCAAAGATAAAAACTATCGAATTTTTCCATGATGTTTACAGAGAAACGTCACAGCTGCCAACCCCCCCACCCCCAAACGAACATATGACGTTTCTCGTGGAAAAAATCGATATGTGAGGCTTCCCTTGGCTTTCAAAGACAAAGGCCACAATTTCCATAAATCGCTAGAATACTGTTGTTTAGTAAAAAATTGACATCCGTAAGTACAATTTCTTACGCTGAATCGAACAGTGGTATTTTTATCCGTATTGCGCCATTAGGACTGATTACAAATACAAAGACAAACGTACTGTGAGTGATTTGTCTGCCTGTCAGTCAGCAAATATCCTATATACGTACCGCGAGCGATTTGTCAACAATACAATTTCGCTTGATTTTCAAAGGCCATAAATCGCTAGAACACTGTTGTTTAGTAATACATTTGACATCCGTAAATGCAATTTTTTACACTGAATCGGTGGTATTTTTATCCTTATTGCGCCATTATACATTAAGTGTCATCACTGTCATTAGACATTACAATATCATATTTCACACTACAGTTTTCACGTTCCACAGCTATAAACTATTAGGGACTGTTGCTGCATAAATTTTATATTGATATGACACCAATATGCTTCTCATAAAGTAGTTATCTATTAAAATGTGTAGTTTAGGTTATAACCTTTTACCTTGCAATTGTCTTTGGCTCGTTTATAATCAGATTCAGTATATTTAATATGATCGTGCACGGGAATTCAATGCAAAGATCCAAATTTCCGATTTTCAGAGTCGTGTACCAAGAAAAATGCATTAACTAAACTAGCAAAAATGCCCAGAGTTAGACACAATGCAAAATCCATAGAAAACCGGTACAATTCGTTGAAAATTTTAACGAAATTGTTTGAAACATTTTGCCCACTCACGAAAGGCCGCCATTTTGAAAAGGATAAATTGGGTTTATTAGGCAGTCATTAATGCGGGCACGATGTAAACAATCGATGTAAACTAATCGCTGATTGGCTTAAATTGGCTGATTGGCTAAAATTATATAAGCTCGTCGCTGAATGGCTAGGGATACGGTAACATTACGTTTGCGATAGCAATATATCTGCTTCGCAGATACAAAAATAGGTACGCGACGCGTACATGTATCTGCGAAAAACCTTGATTCACATTTTCATCACTTATTATAATAAATATAATAACAAATAAGATTTTAAAGTCAAACATAGTACAAATCTAACAAGGCTGTAGACAGCACCACAGGCGTAAGCAAGTTCCCCCAGTGTGCTGCGCCGACGTTTTAATAGCTTTTGTTCACGCGTGCCATCGGTTTCACCGAATATTCAACATGATGAATAATTGCGGTGTGCACGATTGGATGTATTCCCCATGCACGTGTGCCGGTGTCCCAGGATTTTCGCCCCCCCCCCTACATTTTCGACCCCCGGGGGGCGAAATTCCTAGGAATATCCAACCCCCCCCCAGGGGGGCGAAAATCCTAGGAATTTCGCCCCCCTTTAGGAAATTCGCCCCCCTTCAGAAACTTCACCTTTTCTTTAGGATTTTCGTCCTCCGTTCAAAATTTCGCCCTTCCTAACAGTTGCATGGGATAATTATTACATGGCTTTAATCATTTGAAATCAGTATCAATTCAAAATTGCTAAGACAGAGCTTGAAATAACCGATCACCGATCAATGATCGGCAAGGAATTGCTTATGATCGGCGGAAAAGCAGGGTTTCGGTTTCCAACCTGAAAAAAGCAGGGAAAGCATGACTGCCGATCACCATGATCGTGAACTTTGGGAACGTTATTTCAAGCCCTGCATGTAAGAATACAAATTTACAATTACATGTATCGAAAGGGCTTACACAGTTACAGTAGATCAATAGGACTTATGACGCTTCACAGCACACCATGCATATTTTTCATTTTCAGTGTTAATCCTTAAACTCATTGTTAAAAAGTAATCACCGTGGTGGTTATTGTAATTATTGGTATTGTTTTGCATCCACGTTTTGTCGTTATCGGAAAATGTATGGCTTATAAGTTGTGACTATTTTTTACTTGCATTATTTCAATTCTCAAATGTTTAAGGCACTAATAAAATCAAAGTATCATGAAATTATTTGAATAAACCACACCACATATATATCATGCAATTTTCTTTGCGGAAGTCAGTCAAGAATCAAGATTACATCACTGACACTGACACTGACATGGAAAGTTGACGATTCAATGGACAATAGTGAATACGCTTCCCAACAAATTCCATAGATTTTTTATTAATCCTATAGTTTATTGTTAGCAAGTGATTACTCTGGCGGCTATTGTTAACACTGGTATTGATAAAATTTGCAAGCGATTGTTTTTATAATATGTTATGTGAATGTAAACTGCCAGAAGAATACGACAACATGATTTTATGCGATCTCTGCTTCCACTTTAGATGTGTAGAATATGACACTAGTCTAAGTACCTCAAGTCACTAGTCTAAGTACACTGGACACTAGTCTAGGTCCCGTACCGCACTTGGGGGCGAATATCCTAGGAATATCGCACCCCTTTTGAGAGGAGGGGGCGAATCTCCTGGGGGGGGAGGCGAATCTCCTGTGACATCGGACTTGAGTACTGCCGGAGATCCGGTGCTTCGCGTGTATTGCTTTTCCAGTTTATAATACGGGGATTCGGGGAATATGAGTCACGAGACATATGCGGTTAGATCAGTGTTTGTTTGCTTGTGGCTGTATTGAAACATGAAACGAAGTCAGAAGTTGTGCAAAACCGCAATAGATTAAAAGTATTATATATCCACGTGCACAGGTAAGCCATATATTCATAAACGGCATTAATATTGTGAATGAATATATGTTTGCAGTTTGAACATTTACGTACTAAATTTTGAAAGTAGATCATTGGAAGAACTGAGAGCTCTGGTGTAACCTCGTAAGCTTTATAGATAGAATACTAATGGAAAATAAGCAGTCCAACCCAAGCTATACTTTTGTAGATGTTCTGTATGCATGTATGATTTTTAGTAGTTATTTGTTATGATAGCATGACTCGTGAACGCTGGAAGCAGTATCTCGAGGTCCATACTACAGCTATTGCATGTGTGGAATTTCTTCGGTTATTGTCTATTGAGATTCGTGTATCTCTGTTTATAACCTATAAAGAGTGAGACATTGCCACGAATTTAGGAAAGAAAGGCGACGCAGGTTTGACTTTAAATTATGTCACATAATATAAGCATATTTCAAAAGCCAGTTTCATTCACTATGTCTATTATTCATCAATTTATCACCTCAAATTGGAAATCTTCATACTGAAATTAGCCTACACGGAATATATCATGATGTTTGGACATTCAGGGAGCGAGTTACGCCTGTTTGATTTTTGAAAATTTTGTTATTCCTATATATTTCACTGGAATTTCCGCTGCATTGAAAATATAGTTTCAAATTCCAGTCGAATCTATACGGGGAAAAACAAAATTTTCAAAACGCCGTAACTCGCGCCTTGAATGACCAAATATCATGAGATATTTGGGATAGACTAATTTGAGCGCGACGATTTCAATTCTAGTGTCCTTTTCTGGCCAATATGAAGATGAAAAATCGATAACGCGAACTCGAATCAGGGAATAATATCAATTAGTTTCCATGCAGGAACTAGAATATTAGGCCCCGTCTACACTAATTGATCTGCGGCCGTTTTCGTTGGAATTGACTTAGTTGAAAATGCATACGTACTTTCGTCCACACTAACATGATGGAAAACGGATACTTTCATCCATAAAAACAGTGACTTTCAAAAACGGCTTCGAAAATTAATGGAGTGACTTTCGGAAACGGAGATGTTGTGGGCGGGCGATCGAAAACG